GAGGCCGATGAGGGAGTTCATGATGCATGTGTCCTTCAGTTCAATGTGTTTGTAATGGATTCTTTTACATGACGTAAGCTGGACAAGGGATACATGAAGAGATGTAGATTGTGTGACGAGGTTTAACTATTCTGATGGTTTTGCAGATCACCATAATAGTATACGAGCAACCAACGCTTGTATGCATTGTGCATCGGCTGTCTTGGCCGTTGCGCAGGCGTAGAAGAGTCCGGCGATCATCGGATGCTTTTGGAGGTGACGGAAAGCGAACCGCCTGGACATATTGCGTTGGAAAAAGAAAAAGCTTCGCAAGAGCAGCGACCACCAAGACATGGTTACAAGGATGTACCGTTGACGGGCTGTCATCAATCTGTCATGCCTCTCTATCGCTTGCCGGGTGCTTTTGGAACTATATGCGAGCCAGATGACCGGGGACTTTTCCGAGAGCCGCCGGCTGCGGTTGCGCGCCCAAGCAAGGACCATCTGCTGTTGCGATCAGATGCGCAGCCGTGGGTTTTGGACGGTTGTCGTCGGGTCGTTGGTTTGCGGTTACCTACTGGACGTGTTGCGCAGTGGGAAGATACGTGCGCAGATGCAGAAGCTTGGGCAAGGGCATTTGGAAAAGATGTTCGAGGTCTCTTTTGTCAAAACCATGACCACAACTGTGTCGCGACCTGTGCAAAATATGCTGCAAAACACATGGGAGATGAGACAGGCGCACCTCGGAAAACGAAGGCTTTGGATCCTCGCTCCTATTGTCGGTTTTTGTTTGTTCGTGTCGTGGAGCTGAAGGTCGGGGACAAGCTGAAGCGTTTACTGCGACGAGGGAAAGAATTGGTTCGGAAAGCGAGTGTGTTTTACAGCAATACTCGCAATGAATACGGACGCGTGCAAGTAGTTCGCAGACACCCCTTCAGATCCACTTCCAATGACCTGTGTCAAGCTTTTGCACGTTGTAATGTGGATTTGCAACGAAATGATCGTGTCGTACCAAGTGAGGCGCCGGAGTTCAGCCTAGTCGATTTGAAGCCTGTGCAGTTCTTCTATGGACACGCTCGATTGTCTGCGGATGCGCGGCGTATCCTCGCATGTTTGGCAGAAGGGGTGCGAAGCTCGCACGTGTGCGATTTCTACATGACCAAATATCTCGCCAAGGGTCAGCAAGTTCTTGCAAGTGCCATTACTCCTGTTCTGCACGGCTTGGAACGTTTGGATGCAGAGATTGCAGCAGGGAAAAAGATCTTGGGCACCACCGAGGACCTAGCGCGTGCCAAATTGCGGCGGATTTTGTTTAGCGCCAACCGCTCTCATTGGTTTTCCTCTTGTGAGCTTGCAATCTTCGTCCTGACTGGTGGGCACAGCGTTGCCACACACATCGACCGTCCTTTGTTTTTGAGCAAGGTTTTTTACTTGCTGGAAGAAGGCAAACGCCTGTGGAACGGAGCACTGGCCGGCGATTTCGTGCAAGAGGCGGCTCGTCCAGCTGATGTGGACGTGGTACATGTGGTTCCATTGCCGAGAGAATCCACCAAACGTTCTGCGGAGCGCAGTTCCTTGGAACAGGACGGTTGTCACTCCGAAGACAAGAAACGACGGATTTCCGAGTCGAGGTCTACAGCCGCAAGTGGTGAACATGTTGAAGGAGATGGTGCGGTTGCGGTGGATGCATCATGTCTTGAAGTTGCGAAGACTGGAGATGAAGCATGTGTGGGTGCACCGTGTTGTGAGCGCGTGGACATGGAGCCGGAACAACCTGGTGTTCGGATGTTTCGCGCCACTGCTTCAACCTTCGATGATTGGCTGCATCGTGGATTCTTCCTACAAGATTTGAATTTTCACAGTTATGTCGCGTATATTGAAATCGTTCCTCGCCAACAGGGTAAGTTGGGCGATTGTTTCCTCTTTGATGAGCATTATCTGAAAGCAAAAACCTACTGGCAGCGGTTGGCTCCTCGTATGGCCGTGCCACGCGTGGTAGGCGCAGCTTGCAGTCGCACGGACGTAGGGAATGGTGAAGAAAACGCTCGCTACAAGTTGACCCTGTTTGGATTGATGCGTTGTCCCGGAGTGGGTGCCTGTGCTGACCCTGTGAGTTTGGCTGCAGCCTATGTGTGTAGCCAGCAGACTCAGGATATTCGATTCTCTCCTGCTTGGCGTCTTCGACGCGCGGAAGTGGAAGTTTTGGCCACTGAAGCTGATCGGGAAATTCGCATAGCGAAGAAGTTACCCACACTGGCAGATACCACGACGTTTCGCTGTCTGGAAGGTAAAGGTTTCACTTGGTGTCACATTTTGGTTTCCCAAGCTCTGTACCATGGACATAACAAACATGTCTGCGTCGGAACGCAAAATTTCCAGAAGCTTGTCGTCTGTATTTCTGCTTATTTGGCACCAGTCGCGGATACATTCGCGGCGGAACAGTTACATCTGGCTGAGTTTGTTGCGCGTAGAACACGGGACATGGTGTTCCGCTTGGACATGCATACAGAAGCTCGAAACACTGCCATTCAGATAGCCAAGGACAAGACGACCGCGAGTGTCGAAGATGATACCGCGTCTGTTCGTTCGGACCATCAACAGATCATGGTCGAGATCGAAAATGTCGGTGGTGAACCCGACGCTGTCGAAGATGACCGAGTGGGTGAAGCGAACGTGGAGCGACCCATGGCAGGAGGCATTGAACTCATGACGCTCCTGCCGCAGGACTGCTATGTCTCAAACTCTTATTCTTTTTTACCTCTTCGGGTTTGTTGGTTGCTATGTTATGATGTCTTGTCTGTGTCCATGGCTTGATCGATATATTATAAGCGTCCAATGGTTCCTCTGTCGTGAATAAATTGCGTATAGTTTCATGTAGACACTGATGCGTATACATCAATATATGTACAGAGAGAGAGGTCATGAGACATGAGATGCACATGACGTGGTCTTCAGAAGGAACAGCATGACAATGGTATATGTTACCCACATCGCTTATTCATCTGTAGGATCCAGATGCCGTGCGAGCACATCTGCTGCATGTCTCAGAGTTGGAATCCGCAAAGCAGCGTGGCACCCGGACTTCGGATGCAGTGCGCTTCATGTTGGAAGTGGAGAAAGCATTGAACACAAAAGTGGCACTTTGCCATGAACACTTTCCCGTGGAGGACTCTGGAGGATGGATGCCACAAGCGTCCGTTGAGCTTTTGTTGTCTGCTCAGCAACAACGTGTGGAGTTCTATCGCAAAATGGATTCAGCAGATGACGCAGCGGAGGACGCGACCGTTGCGGTTGCACACGCAGAAGAAGAAGCGGTTGTGCGCTTGGTGGCGGCGGATCTGCGACTGCGCGGTCCGGCGGCGGTGGCGAAAGTGTTGGCCGACAGAGCCACTTTGAACCGCGATCAACTTGGCTTCGTCGCCATTGTTGCAAAAATTCTGCAAGATGCCTTTGAATCACTTCCGCCAAGTGGCGATGGTATGCTCGCCAAGGATCGTGTTCTGTTGCGATGTCTGCTGGTTGGAGGCGGTGGATGTGGGAAGACTCGGATCATCAACATGGTTTTAAGACCGTTGTTTGAAGCAGTCTTTGGTGATGGTTCCATGCAAGCGCAGGCGCCTTCGAACAAAGCCGCTCGTCAGATTCATGGCCGAACCATGCACAGCGCAAACAAGCTGCGCAAAGATTCATCTTTGCGGACCGTGCATTTGCGTGTTTCCGCAGAGACACGGAAGGCTTTGGAATGCAACACTGTCCCGCTGGCTGCCATCGTCATCGATGAATTCTCTCAATGCATTGGTCAGATGCTGCATGCGGATGCGCTGCGGAAGTCTTATGGTCGGCAAAGGGCCCTGGGGCTGGAGCTTCATCGTTATGCGGAATTGGACGAGAGCTGGGGGCGTATGCCGGTGGTCGTCATTTCTGGGGATGAACTGCAATTACCTCCTGTTCCTTTTTCGCATTCCTTGCTTGCCAGTGTGGATGGAACCAGCGATGAACATAAAGCCGGCGTGCATCTCTTCGGTCAATTCCGTTATGTGTACCGCCTGCAGACGGCCATGCGTTTCCAGGATCCAGTTTTGGAATGTATCCTGAGGAAAATGCGAACTCCGGGTGGTGCGTTGTTGACGCAGAGCGAATGGCAGGCGTTGGTGAATACCAACATCAGTGGATCCGGCGACAGCGCTCGCTTGTCCGGCACTGAGCATTTTTTCCAAGCTTGCTACACTTGGTCTGTGGTTAGCATGGCCTATACCATTCGCAGTTTTGAATCAGCAAAAGCAGCGGGCAAGACCTTGTATGCCACTCGTGCTGTTGACATGATCCAAAATCTGCAGGCCGACAAAGCTGCTGCTATCGCCCGGGCTGTGGTTGCGCACCCAAACATGAACGAGACCGGACGGCTTCCTCACTATGGTCTCTATCACGTTGGTATGGAAGTGCGCTTCACTCAGACAGTCGCTGCTCCTCATGTGGTGGTAGATACAATTGGAATCATTCGGGGTTTTGCGTTTGCTTCGGAGGATCGGAGTCGCACTGATTTGCATGCATCTTTCGTCGTTTTGCGACGCTTTCCGGAAGCTATTTATGTGGAGCTGCAAGATGTGCCGCAGAAATTTCTGCCCGATGAAGCCTGTCTTGAACATACACCGCACATGGACGCCGAGTGTGCTGCATGCTTGCGGATGCGTGGCGTGTTTTTGGTGCGACCATATACGAATCAACAAGGTTGGTCGCTGAAAGTGACGATCCCTGGATCCCTTGCTACTGGTACAGAAGAAGAGATCTCTGTCAAGATTCGTAGGACGCAGATTCCGTTGGTGACTGTGAAAGCCAGTACTTTGCATGTGTTGCAAGGTACAACGACAGATCCTGGTTTGATCTTTCATTGGCGCTTCCCTCGTCGACTCCAAGCAGACATGAGGTGGTTGGCTGCATATGTGGCCTTGTCACGTGTGCGCTCCTTGGATCGTCTGCGATCTGTCGGTCTCGACAATAAGATTCGTGCCATCTTGGAACAAGGACCTCCAAATACTTTGCCTGCCAGATTCCATGTTTTGTTCTCGGACAAAGAATCCGAGACACAAACCTTCGCAAAGGAATGTCTCAGACTTCTTCGATGGTGACCCTCATGTCACCAGATCACCTCCAGTACCTGAAGCAAAGAGAGGAAAAGTAATCAAAAGAAATACTTCGCTTCGGTGTCGCCTTGGCTACAGTGGTTTCTTGGCTTCTACTCTACCTTTACTAGCTACAGGTAGTAGCTGTCATGAGAGCATTTGTGACTCTAGCTTTGTTACTTCTCTGACCTTCTTGTCTACTGAGATCGAGGTCTGCAACCTTTTCTGCATCGGGTTCATGTCCTTTTGATGGAGTTCGACTCGGATGTTGGTTTTGTGGCTCAATTTCTAATGCATCGCATAGGGACGCTGTGTTCTATGCATGGCTTGAACCTGTGTGAGTCCCACAAGTGTTGACTCTTATGACGGTCAAAGTCGAGAAACCGGGCGGAGGTGAAGATAGGCGTCGCTCTCCTTTGTCAGAACTGCAGGCCGCCGCGCGACACGGTCGGTTTGTGGTCCAAGTAAAGTTTCAAAAGGTGGAAGAGTACACATATACCCGGCAAGGCGCGCCGACCAAGGGAAAGCGGTTGCACGTGCTGTTTGCTAGCGCGGAAGAAGGTGCATATGTGTCTGGTCGCATGGTCATGTGGCAACAGAAGTCTGGCGAGTTGGAAGCTGCGGCTGCGCGCTTCCAGGTGGGTTTGCACTTCGAAATGAAATCTGTCGTCTTTCTCCAGAAAGAGGTAGCCGAATATATTCACACTCCGTTGAAAGTGGTTCTGGATCTGCGACAGACTCACTTCGATTCGGTTCTACAGGGACAATTTCCCAACTTTTGCCTGGGCCCACCGACACGTCTGAAAGACATTCTGGAGTTAACAGATGGTCGACAACGCTTCGATATCACGAGTCTCGTGCGGCTGCGCGGAGACCCGCGTACCGTAACCACCCGGCAGGGTCAACGTGTGGCGCAGGACATCGTGCTTCGAGACGATTCTTGTGTGCAAGACGGACATCGGGCAGAGATCACCACGTCCATTTTCGCGGAATCACAAGCGAAACTGGAAGAATTTATTGCTTTGGTGAATCTGGAAAAGCCGTTGACTTTCTTTGGCTTCGATGTGCAAGTCCGTGGTGCTGAAATCAAGGTCACTCCATCTTTTCAAGACTTTCGCTGTGAAGTGGCTGTCTCCGTCCGTGCGGCTGCGCAGGACGAAAGACAGAACGAGATTTGGAAGGAAGCAGGGCAGACGCTGACGCATGAATGGCAGCCCTCGGTTTCTACGGACTACTCAAGCAAAGAAGGCTTTTTATCCTTTTGTGCTTTGCTGGATGCTTATAGCCAACAAGACGCAGCTGCCTTGCATGGCAAGTTGTTTCAACTCAACAACATCCATGTGCCTTACCCACCGGAGCACCACACGGTGGAACGACGTGTGTTTTGGTCCACACGGATTCGAGATTGTAGCGGCAGCTTGGAAGTCGCCATTCGACAAAAGGCAGCCTGCCAGCTCGCCAAAATCGATACAGCTGATCACGAGAATGCCGTCATGGAGTTCAATAGTCAGCATGGCGGTGACCTGTTATCGTGGCCTTTGCTTGCCAGTGTCAAGATCTTGGTCACACTTCGTGGTGACAATGACTCTGGTGCCACACAGGCGACTGACAGCGTCTCCACGACGAGTTCCTCGAAGCGGATGCGCTTCTTAGTTGTGGAAGCTTCGGAGCAGGACCTGCAAGCGACGCCCACAAAGGCTGTGCTGGCCGTTGTTCATGCCTTGAGCCATGTGCCGTGCAGCGGAGACGCGTTTGCGGCTGCATTGCTGTCGCAATTGACCAAGAATAGTTTTGGCGTTTTTCAAGTGCAGCCAGAGGTTGTGGTAGCGCACCTGGAGACTGGTGCCTTGGAACGCCACGCTAAACGTCGCCGGGTTACTTGTGCGAAGGCCTTGGTGATGCTTCTTTCGAAAGAACGGACGCAGCAAGAAGCGTTGGGCTCAGACAGTTATGGCATTCGGTTGGTGACCAAGAATGTTCGCGACGCTTTGGCTCCAGATGCAGGCCCTGTGACTGTGGTGGCATATTGTCAGCGACATGCTTTGAAGGATTTCATTTTGGATCCTCCACGGACTGGAACCAAAACCCAATACGCTCTGGCATTGATCTCCGATCTGAGCACTACATCAAGTGAAACCACATATGTGGTGGAACAATTGCAGTTGCTGCAAGAAGGCGATGCAGAAGCTGCAATGATATGTCTGCGGCGTTTGGAGCAACTGACTGCCTTGATCGCTTCTCGTCAACAGACGTCGGATCCCCTACCAGCCTGGACGGACACATTGGCGGAGAGTGCCTCCCGCATCGCTTGTCCACGCATCTCGGCCTATCCCGCAGGGGACACATGGGAGAGTCCAGTGAAGGCGTCCCAGGAGGTACCGTTCACGGCAGCTGACACCCCGGGCACAGGCTAGCTCTTAGTTGTCTCCCTTCCGCTGTTGCTGCGACTGCGCGCAACATGGTTCTCTTACTACAGAATCTTTTTTGACTTTCCATGAGGCATCTGTTGCTCATGTGTCATTCTGCATGAACCTGTGTTACTCTGCGGCTGCGCGAGGCCGATGACTTTCTTCTCCTACCTTGAAAGATTGCCGGCCACGCCGCTGCGCGCTGGATATCGTGCACCTTGGATTGACGCATGCAACTGAAAGAAAATATGTGTTGCTTGCACTTCCTGAGTGTATGTTACGAACGCCAGCCTTCGTAGAAGACGCCAGCTGCGTTGTGTTTGCGAACGACGGGAGTCTTCTAGGGGGTGTGGGGGGGTAGCCCGCAAAAGTGCTAACTGAACTCGGAGCCTCCTGCTGAACCCCATGGCGGCCAGGGAAGGTTTTTGAGGTCGTTTTGGAGGCGATTTTTTTGTTCGTGTTTGTGGGGTGCATGGTGATGCACGGGATGCAACGAACGCTCAGTACCTCTGCGGGCAGTGTACCGTGCCACGCCCCAATCACGTAACACAGCCCTGCATCTTGATTGGCTGTTCTCACCAGGCCCCAAAGCAAGCAAGAGTTCTTGGACCCTTCCAGCTTCCTGTGTAGCCACAAGGACGTCAGCCTTCGTAGCAGACGCCAGCTCAATTATGTTTGCGAACGAGGTGAGTCTTCTAAAACATTGCGCCTGCCACGAAATTTACAAAGGCTCCGATGCCTTGCACCTACCACGTAAAATGACGTTTTCAAGGCTCCAATGTGTCGAATTCCTTGCGCCTGCCGTTCTAGCAAAATTTGTCATGACATGTCATGACTAGTTAAGTAGATCTCTGGGGCCATGACACTCCAGCTTGGGACAAGCGGTACTGCCACTGTGACAGGTCGAGGAGATTTGCGTTCAGGCCAAATGCACTTCCTGTCCGAAAACGAGCACGGCACTGCACGAGAGCACCGCCCCGGAACAGCGGACAGCATCCCCACCACTTTGTGCGAACCTGCGCAGTCGGACTGGACATGAGGAATTCACACAGTAACTTTTGCGCGAGCGGGCCAGTCAAAATGCTCCAGACGAACACGCTAACCCTGATCTAAACCCAGCCTTACCTCCTACCGTAAGAACCCCGACTCACGAGCACAAATACCAAAATTGGCACGAGCACGGCGCCTGCATGACTGCACCTGCACCGCATCTTTCTTTCTAGCTGGTTCAAACCCGCTCGACAACCTGCTTCTCGCCTGCTTTCGTTCTGGACCCATGGCGCATGACGGAGCTCCGCACGCCGCGCAGGAGGCGCTGCCTCCTGTTGCTGCGTCTACATGGCTGGCCCCCGAGGCAGAACTGGGTGACTCCGTTGTGGCTGCACACGGGCATTCTTTGGCTTTCCACGCGTCCACAGCACCATATCCTTCGGTCCCTGTGGTCGATCTTACCGGCGCGCACGACGCCTTGGTCTGCATGACAAAGCAACCAAGGGCTGTGATTACCATTCACACACGCGCCCTTCGCCGCCACGCGCCACGACAGGAGATGCGTTCTCTTTTACTTGAGCGGACGGCGTGGATCAATGACCATTGGTTTCCTGATCACTCCAATGAAGGATACTGGGAAGAGCTCTCCAATTCGGAGACATGTCCCTGGCACGATTTCATCGCGACCCTGCCAGAGGCGTCCAAGACCGTGGCGTGCGGTCCCAGGGGCGTGGTGTGTTTTGGCATCGCCTCCTTCCCGGAGGAGTTGGACCCCAATACACACGCCCCTCGCGTGGACTTCCAGGTGTGGCAGCAGGATGGATGTCATGTTCGGTTGCATCCCGGAAAGAGTGCCGCTGGCGACGCTGAGCCTGTGGTTCTGTCTAGTGGTCCTGCGGTGACTTCGCGGAAAGCCTTTACTGCCAGGTTTCAGCGTCGTCTCAACCGCTGATGGCTTTCTGTGACCTTTCTTTTGCGTCTTCGCAGCGGCTGCGCGCGGACGGTTCCAAGTGCTTCCACTGCCGCCCAGCCAGTCTTCCTGCTGGGCTTGGTATGTTGCTTGTGCTCGGATGGCTGTTGCGGCTGCGCACAGCTAACTTCGCTGTCTCGCGTGACGTCGTGAGGGTTTTGCTTGCTTGTACTCGGATGGCTGTTGCGTTTGCGCACAGCTGGCTTCGCTTTCTCATGTGACACCGTGAGGGTTTTGCTACTTCTTCTCTGCGCGCGGCTCTTGAAAAAGCACAATTCCGCTGCTCGGGTGGGCGCGCTTCTACTTTCGTACTGTCTGACTGCTACATTCTTCTATAGTCATTCCAAAGTATTGAAGTAGTGCTTGAGCATGATTCATGGCTGCTTCGTTCACGGGCGCTCCTTCCTAACTGCTGTCTTAGACCGCTCTTTTGGGATTGCTCTTTTGGATCACCACGACTCCATCACTACACCAAAGTCACTCTCACGGAAGAGCCGAGCCTGATGGAGATTCCTGTGGCACTTTGGACTTTGGCCAACAAAGCCACTGCCGGGCGGTTGCTGCTATCAGTGGTGGCGGTGCTGGTGGTACTGCTGGTGGGGGTGACGGTAGTGGTCGAGCCAAGAGCTTCCTTAACCTATGTGCTCTCAGGTTGGTGCTTCTATGTGCTGTCACACTTGTGCTCTCATATGAGTGCTCTGATGTGCTCTCATATGGGTCTTTTCCTATGTATACTCTCATATATGTGCTTCTATGTGTGCTCTCATCTGTTTTTTTAAATCGCTGGTTCAATCCCGCAGTGCTTCTATATGTGCTCTCATGTTTTTTTTTGACAGCTGGTTCAAACCCGCTGGCACATTGTTTTAGCTGCTTGGGATCCACTTTCTTTCCATAGCGCCGCTTGGCTTCAGCTTCGGATCCCCTTGTGTCCGAACGTGTGCGACCAAGATGGCGCAACAACAAGATGATTCCACGACCTCTCCGGATTTTGATCCGTCTACTTCCGCATCGCCTTCCCCGCCTCGAGCTGCGGCTGCGCGCTCCGCTCCTGGCGAGGGGCAAGAGGCATCTCTCGCCGCATCTGCCTCATGTTCTCCACTTCCACGTCGGCCGAAGGACAGGTCTGTGGCGGAGGCTGTGTCTCCTTTTTTCTCCCCAGAGAGTTGCGGATGCGCGCTCCAGAAGTCCTAGGCGCCAGCCATGCAGACAGGATGTTCACGATGCGCCAGCCGCCGCCGCTGCAGATGCACGCGGTGAGTCTCGTCCACAGAGACAGGAAGCAAGTCGTTCGCACAAAGCTTCTCGTCGCCCCGGAGTTGCGGATGCGCGCTCCATGCATCGCGGCCGAGCACACGAGCAGGATGACCACAGAGGAAGCCAAAGCCCACGTAGCCGTAACAGTGTCACTGGTGGTGATGGAGTTGCGGCTGCGCACTCCGCTGGCGTGCGTCTGACGCAACCTCCCGTGGCCATCGTTCAACAGGAGGGGCGTACTTTCATGCCCGTGCCCGCGTATATAGACGAACCACTACCAGAAGAGATGCCTGACAGCGCCCTGGCCTGGGATGGCGAGCGGTATTCACGGGAAGAGTTTTGTGAGTACTATGGCGATGCGGTCCTTTTCTATCAGGCGCAGCAGCTGACGTACTTCTGCAGACAGTATCTTTCCACCTGGTTTGACTACTCGCGGCAGCAAGAAGACCACACGGCTTTGCACCTGGTCTTGCGTCTGCTGAAGCGACAAGAGCTGCGAGACAATCTGGCGCTGGGTGACATACTGCTCCGCTACTGGTATCGTGCGATGGTTCTTCGCGTTGAATATCTGGGAGCTGGACCCGATGGCCATCTATGCACGGACGCCGAGTGCCAAGCAATGGATCGGATGGTGCTGCAGTGGGCTGTCGACTATGACACCGGTGAGCGTCCCGCAATGAAAGCGCGACAACTGCAGCGTCTCTATTGGCAGAAATGGTTTGGTCACAAAACGCTTGCCCTCACACTGGCCCAGAATGGGGTCCGCCATTGGATGCGTACTCACCTGGCGCTCCAGACGGTTGCACAGGTCCACGACAGTGATGCATTCCGAGCTGCGGTTGCGCGCTCGCGTGGGGAATACACCGACGACACGCACCCATTCCAGCCTAGCACAGGAGAGATTGGGGTCTGGCGTGCCCGACTTTCCTGATGTCACTGCGTCAACTGCAGTCACCGGTGCTGATCCTGTCTGCCTCCGTGCCGCTTTTCCGCTGCGGGTGCGCGCGGAAGGCATCCAAGCAATTCTGACCTCGTCTCGTTTTACCTCCCTAAGTCACCCAAATTAGTAATTTTACTAACCATAAAATTTACGTAAATTTTTGGTTTTACTAAGGAAAATTTACGTAAAAATTTACGTAAATTGAATAGTAAATCCAATTTAGGTTATGAGTAAATCCAATTTAGGTTATTAGTAAATCCAATTTAGGTTATTAGTAAATTTTTTAGGTTATGAGTAAATTTTTGCGAGCATGATTTTGAAGCAGAAAATGTCTCTATTTATGTGAGTTGGCTTTCTCCAAAGAGGCAGGTTTTCTACAGGACAACATGTACTTGAGGATATTTGCGCTATGGATTTTTGTTTTTGTTGACTGAGCATGCCAGGAGGTGTGGACTTTGCCTTTACTTGAAGGGATTGCATTTACTTGAGCATGTGTACCCTTCTTGACTTGAACAAAACATTTTTACTTGAGGGTGTCTACTTGAGGGAGTAAATTTACTTGAGGATATGTACTTTTCTTCACTTTAGGAAGAAGAGCATTCTCTGATTCTCTGATGGTTTTTGCCAGTGTGAGGGTGCATGTTTTATGTGAGAGATCTTTTGGCTCTGTGAGAAGAAGAAAAAGAAGAAGAACAAGAGACACCTCAGCAAGAAGGAAACAAGCAGTGAAAGCGCAAAGCTGACAAGATTCTTGGACTGAACTTTAAACAAGTTTGCTTGTTGAAAATTAATTGTTCAAGTTTGTATTAACTGCAGCAAATGAACAAGAGTTACGTCAATGTTGGCTTGAAA